AAGTGAGAGCCGGCCCCAGGAAGTAGGAGTGAGGGACCGGGGAGAGGAAAAACCCAGCTAGGTCAGTGTGTCCAGATCACCTCTGTCTCGAAGGGACATGACGTCACTGGGACTTGCTGAGAAGCCGCAGAACCCCTCCCAGAGCTGTCAGCCAGAAGTACAGGCCCAGTGAGCTTTCTCCACCAGCTCCCACCCCCGCTGGTGGGCTTTCACCAGCAGGACTGTCCCCTATACAACATACAGGGCTGTGCCTACCCAGACTGAGGAGGCTTCTTGGTAGAGAAGTTCTGGGGCAGATAAGACAAGAATCCTTGAGGCAAGAGTGGGGAGACAGGTCCAGCTCAGGGACACCTGTCACCGCAACAGCACCTGAAGTCAAGGTGGGACCTGGGGCACCGGGACATGTGATATAAGTCACAGAGGGACAGGAGCGCCACCCACCATTCATATTCATGCGATGTGGTACTGGGGCTTTTGTCCCCTACCCCCACCCATCCTCTGCCCTCTGAGTGTCGGGCCCCACCCTCTTATCTGTGGAGTTCTTCGTGTCTGGAGCCATTGAAAGTGGGGATTCGGGGTGGGGGATTGTCTGCACACCTGGGCGATTCACACGGGGCTCAGCAGATCTTTGGACGAGGGCCCTCCAGGCGGCTGGGTCTATGATGCAGCGCCCTACCCCATGGTGAGGAATGGGTGCACTCATGCCTCTTCTCCCCTGGTCATGAGTGATGCTCCCCCAAAGGCTAACAAAGGGTCTGCCTACAGGCTTGGGGCTCCCCAGGCCTGCTAGTGGCAGTGTTCCTAGTCAGGAGACCCTTGTGCTGCCTCCCTGGTGCCATGATGCCTCCATCTGCCCTTCCGTTGTAAACTCTGGACCTGGCTTCCCTCAGCCTTAACTTTGGATTCCCCAAAAGTCTGATTTGTTAATAAAAAAAGGAACAGTGGCTGTTTCTAGCCTTTTTCTTCTGCTACCACAATTCTACTTTGTCCCCAGGCAATGTGAATGGGAGACTAAAGGGGAAAAAAATGTCTTTTATGAGAAGGTGGAAAAGAACACAAAGATTTAAGCTCTAGGATATTATCTGAATTCTTCCTTTGGATGAACCTTTTTAACCCCCAAATAAATGTCACCCTCCTTATGGAGAGGAAAGGATTTTCATTTCTCTAACTGTACCCCATCCCCAACCCCGGGTTTCCTGGTGCTGTATATAACAAAGAATTTGGGTGACTTATGTCCCTGGCTCATGGGAGGTAACCTCTAAATTTGGGGAATTTCCCAAGTAATAGGAGTGTCTTCTTCATTCACGGTGGGTCGTTCAGACCATGACTGAGTTCATGCTAATCAGATGACTCAGGACGCCAGGCCAGAAGACCCAACCGTGTGATTAGAGGGTTGGGGTTTTGAGACTGGTGATGTCAGCCTGACCCCCGGGAAGGGTAGAAAGGCTGGAGATTAAGTTGAATCACATGACCAGTGATTCCATCAATAATGTTTACATCGTGAAAGCCTAGGAATAACTCTGGACAGAGGCTCAGGTGAGCTCTTCCTAGCTTATGTGACACATCATTGGTCCGGGCGGCGGTGGGGGGTGGGGGGAGGGTGTATCCTAAGAACACAGAAACTTCACATTTGAGACTCTTTCAGACACACTAAGACATGTCTCTTCATTTGGCTGGTCCTGATTTGTGCCCTTTCTAATAAAACTGTGGTCATCAGGACAGTGCTTCCCTGAGTTCTGTGAGTTATTCTAGTGAATTACAAAATTTGAGGGGATAGTGGCTATTTGTTCAGAAGTACAGGGGTGGGGGCGCCTGGGTGGCTCAGTGGGTTGAGCCTCTGCCTTCAGCTCAGGTCATGATCCCAGGGTCCTGGGTTCGAGCCCCGCATTGGGCTCTCTGCTCAGCAGGGAGCCTGCTTCCCCCATCTCTCTGTCTGCCTCTCTGCCTACTTGTGATCTCTCTCTCTGTCAAATAAATAATTAAAAAAAAAAAAAGACATGACATAGAAAAAAATTTATTAAAAAAAAAAAAAAGAAGTACAGGGGGCCTGGGAACCCCAGAACTTATGGCTGGCTCTGAAGTGAGGGGAGACTTGTAGCTGATGGTGTCTTTAGCCAGTGAAGTCTGCACTAATTCCAGACGATCTGACCTATGTTGCCCTTAGGTGTATCTATCTACCTGCTTCCTTCCTTACCACCGCCTGGGGATCCGTACTCATCAGTCAGGAGGCTCAGTCTCCTCCAAATAGACACTCATTTCCACCTTCACCCCAGAAAGCAGACACAGAGGTGGGAGAAGTGCCCTGGAGTTGGGTCTGGGTAGGACGGGCACAGCCCTGGGGAAGGTGATGTGTGCCAAGGAAAGCGTCCTTGGATCCATGCATGTTCCATGCATTTTTGCTGGAGTCCCACAAGGCATGATCTGGCCTTCTGGGCAATGTGCTGACGTGTACTATGGGAGTTGAGTCATCCCACTTGTCCCTGGAAAAGCCCCTTAGTGGGCTCTTCATCCTGGTCAGGACTTAGCCGGAGATTTCCACCTCTCCAGTCCTCTCCCTGGGACACATGAGAGTTTCTGGGTCCCCTGCATGCCCGGGGCGCCAGAAGTCTTGCCTTGGTCATGCCTCCCCGGCCACCTTTGTCCTGCCCTCTGCATGGGCTGAGCATCAGGCAGACTTCTAGATGTATCAGGTTCCCTCCCCCCAACCCGCTCCCACCCAGCCCCAGCTGCCACGATCAATGAGCTCAGGGAAGCATGACTTAAGTGCCTGAGACTCTCATCTACCAGGGACATTTCTAAGCACCCCTGCACCCTCATTCTGGAGCAGTGAGCTCATGACGGTCTAAATTCCTCCCTACCTTCTTCATCCTCTTTGTCCTCAAGACCGCAAGGGCAAACCCATCCTTTTCCTCTGCCTGCTGAGGATGCCTCTACAGAGTGTACGATCTACCATTCCAGACCTGCCTCCTGCCACAGCAAAGGAATTTAGAAAATCTTTCCTCCAGACAAAGGGTGGTTTTCCAGTCTGCTTAGTTGCCGGGAACTCAAACAAAAATCTAGTTGATGTTCAAAGCCGGGCAGTGACTTGCTCCAGCAAGATCTCCCCTTGCCCCAGGGTGACCCCCTGGGGTAGAAGACTCATAGGCTGAGGAAATAGACCTGAAATTATTTCAAAATATAATCTCATTTACATGCGCCTCGAATAATATTTACAGTGGGCCTGCTACGCGCCGGTCACTAGGTTAGGACATAAACACTCCTTAGAAATTGCTTTTAATAACTGCTTTATTAAGATATCACTGACATGCCCTACAGTTCTGTCTTAAAAGGGAACAGCTCAATATTTCTTACTATAGTCACAGAGTTGTACAAACATCACCACCCCCCAATTCTAGAATGTTTCTATCACCCCAAAAAGAAATATCGAACTCATTAGCAGTAAACCGTCTCCTGCCTCCAGTCTCCCCTCCGCCGGCTCCTGGAAATCACTAATCTACTTTCTCTATCTATGGATTCGTCTATTCTGGACATTTCATGTAAATGGAATCATACAATGTGTGCCTCTGGTGACTGGCTTCCCTCATTTAGGAGAATGTTGTTAAGCTTCCGTATTGTATCAATACTTCATTTATTTTTATTGTCAGTTAATGCTCTGCTATAGGGATACGCCGCGTTTTATCTATACATTCATCAGCGGACGAACATTTGGGCTGTCTCCCCTTTTTGGCTGTTATGAAGAAAGCGAGTATGAACGTTCTTGTACAAGTCTTTATGCGGACAAATGTTTTTATTTCTCTTGGGTACATAGCCCGGAGCTGGGTCACGTGGTAACTCTGCCTAACAGTTTGAGAGTGTGTCAAATTCTTTCCCACAGTGGCTGTGCCATCACCATTTACCGCTCCCACCAGCAGTATGTGAGGGTTCCAGTTTCTCCACATCCTCCCCGACACTTCATGGCTTCCGGTTTCGGCCATCTTGGTGGGCGGGCTGTGGTGTCTCACAGTGGTTCTGATTTCCATCTCCCTGATGGCTAAGGACAGCAAGCATCTTTTCATGCATTCACTGGCCATTTACATACCTTCTTTGGAGAAAGAGCTATTCGGATCCTTTGCCCATTTTTTCAGTTGGGTATTTGTCTTTTTGTTGTTGAGTTGAGTTGTAAGAGTTCTTTATACATTCTGAATACAGGTTCATTTCCAGCCCCTTTTGGATTTTAAGAGAAATCTAAATCAAGGTTAGACCCGGAGTTGCTGTTTTAATAAATGAGTGCTGTGAAATGTGTAAGCCTGATGATTCACAGACCTGTACCCCTGGGGCAAATAATACATTATATGTCAATAAAAATAATTAAAAAGAAAAAGGGGGCACCTGGGTGGCTCGGTGGGTTAAAGCCTCTGCCTTCAGCTCAGGTCATGATTCCAGGGTCCTGGAGTTTTCCTCTGTTCCTGCAGGAACCCTGGCCGGCGGGGTGGAATGCCCTTTTCTGTGCTCTTTTGGTCACCTCTTGAGGTCGGAGTCTAGGCTTATTCATCACCGTGTCCCCACACCTGGCCCAGTGTTTGGAATGTGGTTCTAGGAGCTAACATTACCAAGCACCTATAATGTGCCAACACTGCTGCTTGTATTATTCAAATAATCCTCACGGCAATCTCACGATTCTCACCTTCATTTCACAGATGAGGAAATGAAGATGCAGGGAGGTTGAGTAACTTGCCCAAGGTCACATGTCAGCATGCGGCCGATCTGGGATTTGAACCCAGCCAGTGTGACTCTTCAGCCAATATTATGACTCGCAATCCCACTATTGGGTTGTCTTTCTGGTTGTCCTTTTTGTGTAGGAGGGTGGCATCTATTGCCTTGAGAACCCAGAGAATCTGTCCCTTTGCCCACTCAGAGGCTCAAGTAGATGGGCAGAAGGTGGAATGTGGGCTACCATGGCAACTGGGTCACTGGTCACCTCCCCTGCTGAGCCCTTGGGCAGAGAGAAGCGTGGGGTTGGCATGGGGCAATGTTTGAGGCATCAGATGCACTGGGAGGACTTGGAAGAATACCAGGTGGGTAGATGAGGCGGAATGTTCTGGGCAAAGGTGAGGGGAGCCCCCAGAGACAGGTGGGATGAGTGGGAAATGCTTGCCTGCGGCTGGAGTGTTTCCCAGGCAGCATAGCAGGCGCTATCGCCTTTGCTAAACCCACATCCACCTGAGGCTGACCCGTCCTCCAAGACCTCCTCCTGCGTTTGTCTCCCGCTCCTCCAAAGCCCAGGGCTGTAGTCTCGACTTCACCCCTCTCTCCAGGTCTGTGCCGGCATGCTCCTTCCCAAGGAGGTCAGAGCCTGGGGTTTGCTGCTCTGACACCGCTGGAGGCCTGAGGGTTGGGGTACTTCTGTTTTGCCGGGTCTAGGATAAGAGCAGGGACTTCTCCTCCCCAGGTCCCTGAAATTACCCCCTCCCCAGGGGGCCAGGGCCAGAACGGAGGGAGGAGGCAGGTCACCTCTCTCTGTGGTTTGTTGTAGGCCCTGACCTTCCTGACCAGAAATGAGATCCTGTGGTGAGTCGAGGGGCCCCCTTTCCCCCACCTTGAGCTGAGCGCTTGTCCTGGTAGGGTCACATGCTGTTCCCTGAGTGTGGCCCCTCCAGGCGCTGTGGGGCCCTGGAGACGAGACCGGCAGGCAGAGACAGACCCCAGCCCGGAGACCCCAACGCCGGGATGCCAGGGCCCCAGTGGGGCTGAGGGGAACCTCAGGTGTTAAGCCACTAGGCGCTTCAAGGCAGGATTTCTTCACAGAATCGCAGAAGTGAACGAGGCCTCTTGGCGGGGAAGGAGAAAGGACTTAGGAAACAGGTAAACAGGGATGGGCTCTAAGCCCTGGCTCCTGCTCCAAGCCTCTCTTCAGAGCCTGCCGTGTGTCAGACACGGTGAGGGCCGCGGGAGCGTAACAGGGAGCAGCCCGCGGTGCCCGTCATCATGCAGGTGACCGTCCAGCAGGGAAGGCTCCAGACAGAAGACAAGCATCAGGCAGAGTGAGGGCGGCCGATGCCCTCCTCAACCGGGCCACAGAGGTGTGAACGGCACGGTGTGTGGGTGCTCCGTCCAGGTCCAGGGCGGGGGACTGAAAAAGTCTTACGGGATTTCTTCTCTAGCCCTGCAGCCGCTCGGCACCCCTTCCCTGGCCCGGCACAAGACAGGCGCTCCGCTGGGTGGAGCTGAGTGGACAGGCTCTCTCCTCAGGACCACTAGGCCCCATGACAGGCAGGGATGAGCCCCCGGCCGGCTTCGGCGAGCTTCACTTGTCGGGTATGAACTGGAAGCTGAGGGACGCTGGCTGTTTGAAGAGAGCATTTAAAACTCTGCATTAGATCATGTCATCATAACGCTTCAGAACACCCGAGATCATGAGGAGAGGCGAAGAGCTTCCATAGAGAAAACAAAAACAAAACAAAAGACACACACAGGGAAAAACTCCAATCCAGAGTGAAGTCCTAGTTAAACGAGTAATCAAGAGCGAATGTGAAGTAACGATTTTTTTTTGACACGCAAATTATTTTTAAAAATGACCTCTTAGGCATCTTGTCTGAGGAAACTTCTGGAGGGCATGCTCCATTAGCACGAGTAGGTAAATGGTGTTATTTTGGAAAGAGATACTGGTGTATCTAGGACGCTTCTGTTTTTGTAAAACAAAAGGTTCTACATGTACACACACACACACACACACACACACACACACACACACTACACGAAGAGAGTATGTGTGGAAGGACACACACGCACGCCGATCACTGGTTAGCTTCCTGCAGGGGCCTGGGGTTCTGCCCGCGTCAGCTTTAGCGTGGCTGTGTTGTTGGCAAGGTGAGGGGTGGCTTTGACGCACACCCGGGGACAACCTCAGGGGCTGAGGGAGCCGATGGCACGTGGTGCTCGAGGGAGACAGTGGCCCAGGGGAGCTGAGACTAAACCCCAGTCACTTTTGGACAATTGTCCTATGTGGCCTCCAAAGACACATGGGGATTTTCCTATTAGTGTGACAAAGACATACAGCCTGGATGACGGTGCCATTGGAGAGGTCGGTCCAGCTGAAGAAAGCATCCGAGAGACTGACAGACACGAGTAGCCTCCGGACAAGGGTGCCTCTGCCCTCTTCCAATACTTTCCCACATTTTATTTTATTTTTTTTTTACTTTTCCACCTTCTTATCTGTGCCGTGCAGAGGACACAAAGGCCTGAAGGCCTAGTCACCAGATCTGCCGATGACGCATAGCGGGAGGTCAGACCACATGTGACACTCTGGTCTCGGGGCCAGCCCCTTCGCAGTCTGGGGCTGCCTTGGCCGGGTTTTCCAAGAAGGGGTCTGTCCACCCTCAATGTCTAGCCGGTGGGGATTTTCTGTCACAGCTTCTCCCTGTCACAGCAGTTCCAAGTCAGCCCTCCCTGACGTGTGATCGGATTGCTCTCCGAGAAGGCCCTGACTTCCAGATGTCTCTTTGGGCTCAGCGCACAGGCCGTTCGGGTCCTTATCTTCAGCCGTGGCCACAGACTCCATGTCTGAGGCCTGACCCCAGGAGGGCACTTGTGGCTTCCTTTAGACCTCCGGGGTTGGAGCCCAGGTCGGCCTGACTCAGTCTGAGCCATTTGGAATTCTCGGTGTTGCTCAGGGACTGCTCCTGTCACGATCGTGGGCGGTGTGTGGGTCTGCTTGGGGAGCCTGAAACTTTGTCCCTAGCCCCCACATAGGCTGAAGTGGCCATAAGGACCGCTCTTTCCTTTTGGCACCCTAGAGGTCCCAATACTTCCCAGCCTCTAGGCCCTGTCCTGGCCATTAGCGTCTGGCCCTCCAGGAGCACCCATCACTGGGTCAAGGTCAGCAGGCAGTGTGGTTACGAGCTGGCTTCCCGGAAGCTGAAGGGCTGGGTTGGAGGCTCAGCTCTGCCCCTTCTAGCTGTGTGACTATGGGTGCATTTCTTTGCTGAGCCTGTTCCCACACTTATAAAAAGCGTGACATGAAAGTACTGGAAGCTAAGCTCCCATGGTTGTTATTAGGACGATTAAATGATCAAATGCATGTCAAAGGTCAGAGCAGCCCCGGGCACAGGGGTCCGTGCTTACTAGGGGCTGGCTGTTATTTTCATGCTTTTATTATCTCTCTTTTTCTGCAAATGAGGAAATTGGCTCAGAGAAATGAAGCGGTTTGTTCAAGCCACACAGCTTGAAAGGAGCAGATCATAAAAGCCACCTTTTCAGGCTAAAGATAGGGCTATTTATGAAATGCCTGCAGTCTGTCCTGTAGGGCAAAGGACCACTGACCCCATGGCGCCCCAGAGCAGAGCCCAAAAGAGAGGAGGAGAGATGGAGCCTGGCACTGGAGCTGTGTTCTCAGTCCTGCCTGCAAGAGAGGGATGGGGAAGCTCATAGAATGTAGAGGTCCTGCCCCCATCCTGGCCTTGAATGAGCATCTCTCGGGGTGGGTACGGGTGTTTCTAACATGGGACCCAGTTGAATATCACTAAGTAGAGCCTCAGAGGCAAGGGGGCAGAGAAGGGTATAGAAATAGCCATGGGAGGCCTGAACCAGAGGGAGCAATGGGAGTCACCAAGTCTCTCATTTTACAGAGGGGAAACTGAGGCACAAGTGGGAATGTGGCAGAGCGTGAGCTATGGGGCTGGTCTCCCCTGTCTTGGGCCTCAGAGCCTGCAGACAGCCCCTCCCTGTGTCTGGGAGAGAGCCACAGCCCGGGCTCCTTGATTTCTGGCAGGCTGAATGTGTGAGTTTTTCAAACGGCTTTGACTCTTGAGTCCATTAGTGATTAATTCAGAGTTCCATTTAGAGCCTGCTGATCCATATTTGGAGGAGGAGAACATTTTGTGGCAGCCGAGATGCAGCCACGATTCATCTGCGGGCAGCCCACCCACTCGGCGGCCTGGGAAGGCATGAAATCCAGGCCAGGCCCTCCCCACAGCACCCCTCCCCAGAAAGCTTTGGGGGGGTGGGGCCAGGAGACTCGCACCTGGCTGTGGGGCGGATCCTTTAGGGGTGCAGCAGCACAAGCTGAGGAACTCGGTGTGGGGTTTGGCCCCCATGCTCTCTCCAGCTGTATGACCTTGGGCACACCCCTTACGCCCCCTGAGCCTCAGTTTACCCTTCTTTAGACATGATCACCCCTGCACCTGTCCCTCAGGAATGTTGGAAAAATTGAGAAAATGTGCGTGAGTGCACCCAGCACAGAGACCTGGTAAATAAGAAGAGGGGGTGGCCGTGGCCATCACCCTTTTCCCTCAGCAGAGCCTCTAACACCCCTCTTCTCTGGGCTCCGAGGAACGGAGCTTCGGTCTGCAGCTCTGGATTTAACACGTACCACAGTGTAACCCGAAGCAAGTTATTTCTCCTCCTTGAGCCTCCGTTTCATCAGTGAAGGAGAGAGAGTGGCTCCTTCCTTGCAAGACTCATGCAAGTTCCATGCAAAATGCCCACGAGCGCTGATGGCTCATGGCAGGCCACTCCCAGTGGGGAACCTCCGGTGGGGTCAAGGGAGCCATCTGTTCTGGGCGCTGGCCACAACGTTGCAGGGGCTCAGAGAAGTCTTAAAAATTAGTACAGCTTACTGAAAGTCAGTCTGCTTTTTCTCTCCTCAGGCCAGCAATTCTAACGGTGACAGTGATGAAACACTCCTTTTGGCTAGGGCTGGCTGCTTTGGCCACCCCATCTTACTGTCCCCTCCCCTCTTGGGCCACTGGACCCTCCAGGGATGCTGGCCTTCCTTTCCTGCTCTGTGCTCTGCAGTGCCCCCCACACTTGCCTGGAGAACGCTTCCCCTCACCTATTCTATACCCTGCTTTTCGGCTGCCTCCCGAACTCGCCAGAGCCGTCCCTGGTGATGAAGGTCCAGGGCCCCTGACAAGGCTGACAGAGCCTGTCCTTCATGAAGAGCCATGCGCCTTTCTGGCTCCTGTTTTCAGCCCTTCTCATGGGTCAGCACAGAGTCAGTGATGGGGATTAGCTCCCTGTTGGGCAGAGTTAGGATTGGAGTCAAGGTCTCTCTGCTCAGAGAGGTCAAGCAACTTGCCTCAGATCACACAGCTGGTGGGACAAGGATCATGGTCCATACGGGTGCCCCTGACTGATCTGGCAGCATTCCAGCAGGAATCGGAGAACAGGCAGCATACTCAGCTGGGGGTCTTGAGCTCATGGAGTTAAGCGACTGGCCATTGCTGCCTGGAAGGCCTGAGGAGCCCAGTGGGAGCTGGAGCTGTGGAAGGTGGAGGGCTCGTGCAGACACGGCCAACACCTGCCATGGCTGCAAGGGGTTGGGAGGGACGAATCCCCACCTGGCTCTGTCACGACCTCCAGTCTCCGGTGGGTATCTCCCTTGGACCAAAGCCTACGGGAAGCGTCTGGACACCACAGGGCAAGAGAGGTGGGATGCACCATAGAGATGGGAGTGTGGCCTGGCCAGGAGGTGGGAAAACAGAACAGGAGCACGGACACAGCTGAAGCGCTTGCCACTCTCCCATGGCCGGGATCTAAAGGACATTTTCCCAGTCAGTGAGCTGTGAAAGCATGAGAGGCTAGAATGGGAACAGATCATGGCTCTGAGCTCTCCTGGAGCTGGGCCTCCATGTACCATGATCAGGGCCCTGGCCGGGGTCTCCTTCTCTATCTCCAAATCTCCACCTGTAAAATCACCCTCTGAATTCTTCTTTGAGTTGCCTGTCCCTAACTTCCACCGATCAGATTCTTCTGGGTTCAGACACCACGATGTCAGCGACAGTGAGGCGCTGTTAGTCATTCATCCCCAAGTATGAATTAGCTTGGCCAGGGGCTTGCCTCCTGGCACTGAGCTGAGGTGAGAGGTTGGATGGTGGGGAGAAGAGCAGGAAAGGAGGAGAGGGGAGAAGGTGAACTTGGAGTGTGAAGGACATGAGGGGAAGAAGAGAGGGTGGGCCCAGGGACCCAGGTCCGGTTAGAGGGCACCCCCCCCCACCCCCATCAAGGTCTAGGTCTGAGCTCCGAGAGTCTGGGCACTGGGTGCCTGAGCAGCAGGACAGGAACACAGACAGGGACATAGAGAGGCTCAGGGATCGGGAGAGGCAGGCACCATGCTGACGTTTCTACGCCTCGTCTCGTGTTTGTGAAGGGAGATTAGAGGCCCGGGGCGGGGGGATCAGAACCCTGCTCAAGGTCTCAGAGCTACCAGGTGGCAGACTCAGGACTTGAACTAGGTCTGTCTGGCCCTAGAGACTGTTTTTCACCAGTCTGTGGTTACCCCCACCAGCATGCACACTCACACACATGCACAGTCACACACACACACACACACAGTCACAGGAAGGCCCTGCAGCCCCATCGCATCAAATCCCCACCACGGCCCTCGTTATTGCCCATTTTCTGGATGATGAAATTCAGGCTCAGGAATGAAGATCGCACAGCTCTGCTGCGGCACCACAGGGTCTGGGGTTCGGGCCACCGTGTCTCCTCTCCACTGGCTGTCTCGGTCGCTAGTCCTAAATGACCCAGGAGCCACGACAGGATGGGGCAGGAGGGCAGGAGGATGCAGCTCGTGCTCTCTTGGCCTGGAGGTCCTGCACTCTCCTCCCATCGGGCCACGTAGCCACCTCGCCCTCTGCCTGTCCCTAACAAGCAAAGCCTCCAGGCCGGTGTGGGCCTACAGCAGGGCCACTGATCGCGGGGAGATGAGGCCGGAGGCTTAGTCCTGTGGTCTCTGGAGACCACCTGCGGGCTAGGGCGGCTGTGTGGTCCCCGGCTTCCTCTGCCTGCCGGCTGGGCTCTAATCTGGGCTCAGCCACACCCACCATGTGATGTCTTTTCTCCCGGACAAGGGCGGGGCTGGGCAGCTGGCCTGGGTGGCACGCTGGCTTCCCGAAGTCCCTGCTGGCTTCTCCATCTGTAAGTGAGGGACTGTACTGCGTGACCAGAGATGTCCCTTCCAGCTCTGACATTCTAGGACTAACACATGTGTATTCTGTGCTACAGAGCACACTCACGTACCTTTCCTCACACTCGGCTCATCTTTGCACACCTCTCCCCCTCCCCGCCCCCCGCCACCCCAACGTGGGCCGGGCACACTGGATCCTCAAGGATGTTTCTAGAAGCGTGGACTGATGTCCAACTGCCTTTACTATGTCACTCAATCGTAAGTCCCCTTCCTCCAGATAGGCCTGCAGGAGAGGGGCACGTGGTCCTCTGTCCCCAGCTCACTCCGCCTCTCTCTTCTTAGCATCCATGACACCTTCCTGAAGCTCTGTCCCCCTGGGAAGTACTACAAGGAGGCAACACTGACCACAGACCAGGTCAGCTCCCTGCCAGCCCTGAGGGTGAGTGCAGCATAGGGGAGGGGCTGGGCGTGCCACTGGGGTCCACGGAGGGGTGGAGGACCCTGGGGGAGGGGTGGGCATTGTGGCCCTGGGGGCATCTGGTGGCAGGCTCTCCAGAGGGGCTGGTGGACCACCACTCAGGGCATGGTTTCCCAGCACTTCTCACATGCGTCTGGCCTCACTCTATCCTTACATCAGTCCCGGAGGCAGGACAGGTGTGACAACTGTCACTATTTCTCAGGTGAGGGACCGAAGTGCATGAAAACAATGCCACTTGCTCTCGTTGGGGAAGGGGGTGAGTCTTGCTGAGGCTCCAGGGCCTGTCTGTGATTCCCTCTTGAGCCTTATCTTAGGGCCCCCCTCCGTCAGCTTCCTGCTGACCCTTTACTCGACCCCTCCCACCCAGAGGACCTGCACCGGCCAGCTCTCTCTGCTGTCCTTTATGCCGCAAGCCGGATAAGTGGGAAGGTCGGGATCCCCTGCAGAACAATTTGGGCCTTGGGGAAGCCAGGGTGTCATGCCAGTCCATCCGCCCATCCCCCTCCTCAGCCCTTTTCTGCTCAGGCTGCTTCAGTGAACTAGGGTTTTTCTAGAAGGACTGAGAACCTTCTCAGTTTCTTCCCTGAGAAGCCAGGAAAAGGACTTGGAGCCCAGTGACTGTTGTCCCAAGCTGCCTCCTTCCATCTCCAGGTGTGACTACAGGAAAGAAGGACATGTGCATTTCTGTCCTTGTCCCTCTCTTCCTCTCCCCCCAGTGGAGCCAATCCTCCCTGACCTGAGAGAGGTGGGCCAAATGTTCCTATCTTCTCCTGGATTTCCCCACTTTCCTGGGCCAAATCTCATAACCCTTATACCCAGTTTACATACACCCGCCCTGCCCTTGTCAGAGCAGAGTCCTTGTCCAAACCCACATCTCAGTCTACCCACCTGTGAAATGGGTGGAATGGTGGGGGTGGCTGGGAGTTGTTTCCCTCTGCTCCCCAAGGCTCCCCAATGTCCCCGAACTCTAAAGGCTGTGCTGACACAAGCTGTTAATGCTCCCCATTCCCAACTTTAAGTACCATCTTAAATTTTTGGTTCCTGATGTGAAAAGGCCCTGCCCTTCCCCTGAAGCACCTAGAAGAGCCCGAAGGTGCACCATAAAAGGGCTCCTTAATCACGTCTAAGATTTGTAATTAAAATGTGTCCAGCACTCAGAAGGACGACGTCAGGTTAACTAATCACGGTGGTGTCAGGCTTCCTGATGTTTCATTCTGATCTCAGAGGAATAATGGTTTGAATTTGTCATTGTGCAATGAGAGGCCATCCTCACTTCTGTCTGGAACAAGATGGGCCTGAGAGCTGTGGGCACCTCTTGGAAGAGGGCTAGGGGCTCGGGTGGGGCGGGTGGTGGGAGAGACCGCACAGGTGGAAGGAGCACGCATTCAATGCGGGTTCTGTGGCCTCTCCGAAGTGACGGACCTTGTTCTGGGCAGAGACAGAGAAAGAGCACAGAGCCAGGTACTTGAGATGGAGGCAGGAACAGAGAAGACAAAGGAATAGGAAAGGGTGTTGAGGGGAAGGGGGACGGGGCAGCTGAGAGCTGGGGTCTCGGAGAGGGAAGGAGCCCAATACTCAAAAAGGTGAGATAATTGGAGAATCTGCCTGTGCCAGACACAAAATGGGGAGCTTGTCCTCCTGGTACCCCCTGTTCTCATACACACCCTCACCCACACAGGCACACCTCCATCTCCCCACCCCCCACACATGTGCTGCCTCAGTGGGGGCGGGTGGGGAGGTCGCTCAGAACTAGACTGTCCACGCAGGGCCGGGCTGAGGGGCAGCCTGAATGGGAAGCTTCTGCCCTCTGTTCTCCAGGTTGGGGACAGTGTCACTGGGCAGTCCCAGAGTATCCGAATGTGAAGCCTGGAAAGAGACCCGGAGGCCACCCAGCCTTATCACTGCCAAATGCTCTCTGCCCTGGTTTTACCCATCAGAGAACTGAAACCCGGAGAGGGAAGCACCTTGCTCAGGCCGGGTGACTGCAGAGCCTGGGCCGGCTCTGACCCACTTCTAACCAGGGCCTCCACCTCTGATCAGGGCTTGGCTCGGTGCTGACGGTGGCTCCCCTGGGGGCTCAAGGGGAGCGCCTGGCAAAGACCCGCCCTGGAGGGCTGATGTGGAGAGTGCTGGGGGACGCGTGGGCCAGCATCCTGCATAGCCCCAGAACAACCTGGTCTGGCCTGGGGTCTCTGTTCTGAGCTCCCAAGGAGCAAGGCCTGGACCCAGAGGGCTGGGTCAGGGTCCAGTTCCATCACTCCACCTAGGACCTCTCCCTCTAAGCCTGAATCCCTGTCGGTAAGACAGCGTGTTCGTCCTGTGCTGTGTATCAGCATGTGCAGGGCTAAACTGTGGTCCTCTGCACCTGGGTGGCGGGAGGGTGGTGGGCGGGGGTGTGGGCAGGGAGCACCAGCCTGGGCCACCTCTGCAGCCCTGGACCCCCAAGCTGGACAGCGGCTGGGAATGGAGAAAGGGTCTTGGGACAAGCCTACTTTTAATATTACTTATTTCACCCTTCTAAGTGGCCTTCATTTTATTCTGTTGCGCGACTAGAAACCAGATCATTGTAGGAAAACACAGAAAAGCAAAAATACAATTAAAAACTGTCAGGAAGCCCACCTCAAGGGACGATCATCACGATCAATTTGCCTTATTTCCCTCCTTAATTTTCTCTAAGCAGATACATAAGTGTTTATTAAGAGTTTCTTGGGATCACGTTGACTTTTTTGTATGTTGCTTCCTTCTCCCCCCACCCCCCTTCCCTACCCCATTCCATTTTGGTTTCTTTGTTCCTTTTCTAACTGGTTCTGAATAGCCAGAACCATCTCATGAATTTAGGACACTAAGCCACTGCCACATCTAGAGAACGAGGGGACAGGACCTGCGGCCAGGAGCAGAAGGGCTGGGTTCAAACTCCCCTTGCTAGCCATACGATCTAAGGCAAGCCACGTCACAAGAGGAATGAATCATGAATCAGAGTGGAAGGAAGCAAATAGACACCAGGCAGAGAGGAAGGGGTGGGAGGGGAGCCTGTTTCCCTGCAGGTGTGAGGCCTAGTTCTAGGTGCTCCCAGGTGTGGCCCTGGGTCCAAGGATGCAAGTTTCTCAACATTACGAGGAAGAGTGCAGTGAGCACAAGCTCCCTATCACGCCGGGCGCGAAACGGGCCGACAAGCATTTAGCTGGGATATTCTAGTGCACGCCTAGGTATGAACAAGAAACTGACCCTGTGCTTGGTGCCCTCTTCACTGCCTGAGCCAGTGGTTCTGGCCCTGTGACACATTCTTACTCTCTTTTGTGTTGGTGACCACGTACGTCTCAGACTTCGGACTTTTCATAGTCCAATATAATTTCCAAAATAAATTTTTTTTCTTTTTTTGAGGAAGAACTAGCTAGAGATGCCAACTTTCCTAATTTTGCCAAGTAAGGACATTTAAAAACGATGTGATCCACAATCACCACCATTTCATTTTTTAAAAATGTTCATTTTAGAGCAAAAATACAAGAAGGAGCTAATCCCAGGCACAAGAACGGCTCTTTCCATATACATCTCTTCTTGTCATTTTTCTACTTTCGCCACCAGTCTATCAAGCACGTTGTCACGGGTCGTCCCTGGTCCTGAGACCAGCTTTGGAGGATTTAGATCTAGGACTAAATTTCCCTCCATGTCTTTCCAATCTTGGTCAAAGGGGGAAGATTGCTTCCTGAAATGAGCAAGGAGAGGCTTGATGGGGGATGGGGGCCTGAGCGTCCCTGTTGTGTCCTCTACCGGCCCAATGATGGGAGCTGCATGACTCACACTGCCCAGAACACATCTCTGGAAAAAGCTGTGAGAATTGGGCCCCAGGGAGCTCCCGGTACGGCTATAAGTTGGCTCAGGGGGTTGAGTGGTCTGGGAAGAGAGTCCTGTTTTCTTAACTTGGATTCACTGGTGGAAAAATGGGTTGGTTAATATTGGGAAGGGTCTGTTGGTCAGCAGAGAGCAAGGAAGGAGAATGGCCTGGGCGGCCAAGGACAGTGGGAAAAACCAGATGATGGGGACACAGTGGTCCCTTCTCACTCAGAAATTTCTGTTTTCTCTTTGCGGCTTTCTTTGGTGTATTTAAAAACAATGTTTCTGTTCTTGTAAATAATGATCTTGCTTTCTGTAAACTTGGATGAGAAGTGGCGCAGTGTGACCTGGGTTTCTGGTTTCCGGGCCCAGGACGGCGGGTGGTAGGATCTGGGCAGATCCCAAGGTCTCAGCCTTTGGGATGGAGGCTGGAACAGCGATGCTCTGGCCTCTCCCCAGTTCCCACTCCAGGGTTCCTGAGGGCAGGTGGTCTGTGCCCAGTCTGGCCTCCACTACCTTTCCCCCCAGCATCAACTCCACAGGCACAGAGAGGTTTAGGAAACTGCCTGAGGTGTCAGGAGGCTCTGTGGGTGTGGTTCCAAGGTTCCAACATCCTTGGTTTCTAGCTGTCCCCAGGTTTTCTGAACCTTTTTGATGCCTGCTGATAGGCTGGGCCTGGCTCCTTAGACTAGCTGGCCAAGAACCCCTTCCCAAGGCTTTCCGTAAATCAGGAGTCCTCATGCTTATTCAGGCTTTCGAGAAATGACCAGCGTAGCAGAGGCAGGGAGGGGAACGTGTTTTTTTTTTAATTTAAGATTTTTTCCTTTTTTTTTTAGTTTTTAAATCAAAATTATTTATGCATGCCAAGAGTCAAGTTGCCCTCTGGGGATCACCCTCAATTCCCTTCTCTGGAAAGAAACCATTTGAGGCTCTTAGCTGGTTCTTGGTTCTTGCCTTCATATCTCTGGAGAGTACTCTTTATGGCCCCTTCTTAATATCTCAACCTTTGACCTCCCCCTAGAGAAGAGGTTCAGCTCTTCCCTCCCCTACATGACTCCCCACATGACTCCCATCCCACAAGTCACTCCCATCCCCCACATGACTCCCATCCCCCACATCACCCCCAATGT